GTTGTGTACATGATTGCATCAATGTCAGCTGCTAAAGCATCCCTGTGGCTGTCAGGGAGCAAAGAAATCTTTTCCTTCAGCACCTGAAGTACCTAAATTCAGAAAAACTGTCACTTAGTTTTTCATTAGGAAATGTAATTAACAATCTATTTCTACTGCAGTTAATAAAATGAGCTGTATTGCTAAAACATTTGTCTAACACATGTAACAGCTAGAGTGAAAAAGCACTGGGAGGTTTGGGCATTCCTAAACCCTAATTCAGCAGCACTGAAGAAGCTCCATTTACTGCTCAAAACAAATGAAAACCAAGCATCTTAAAAAATGTTTAGGAAAGGTACTGTCAAAACAGCATCAGCAACACAAGCCATGTGAGCCCAGAACAGCCCAGTGGAGCTTGCTCCACAGTCACACTCTTGTCTTCTCACTGCTGAATTCTTGCTGTGTGCAGGTTCCTAAGCTTTGGATTCAGTATCTTTTAGCTATGTCTCACAAACTTCCTTGAAAATCAGTTTCATTACTAATGAGTTTATCTTTGCCATTTTGTGATCCATACTCCATTTAGAAAAAGCTTAAACACTTGCAAATCAGACCTGACTGAAAATTGTTCCCCTGGTAATTAATGTTCTTATGACACTCACATCCATATTATCTAAGTGTCCTATGATCCACACAGCTGTGTTAAGTAGAAAATGGTGGAGTGCAAAAACTGCACAGAGGTAGCACCCCAAACACCACATGAGAAAGTCAAGTCACGAGAAAGGATGAAACTGCAGAACTTATTTTCAACTAATACTCATTTTTTACCCTAACTTGATCTACCATTTTTGAATAACAAACAAATGCAGAGGTTACATGGAAGCAAGAGGCAATCTTCATAAGGAGACATTGGTTTCTAGTACATTTTGCAGGTACAAAATTCACTGGCCAAAGAAATGACAAAGTAGCCTGGGATCACAGCCTCATCCACTACATCCTTGGCTCACATGAAATCTCTGCATGAATGTAAACCTGAAAAATTTGCAGCCACCAGAGCAAGTTCTGTCAAGAGGAAGCAGAGGAGATGCCCTTTCAGAACAACTACAAGAAACAAACTCACGTTTTATTGCTATCTCTGTTCAGAGAGAGGAGGCAAGACTGTTCAGAGGGGATGCACTAGAACAGCACCAGAGTTTTTGCTGCAAAGGCATGGGTGGCAATAGGACAGGCCACGCTGACATCCTGTAACAAGGCAGACAGAGACCTGGAGTGTCTCCTCCACTTGACTCTGATGCATCTGTTACCTCCATGCCCTGGGAAGGCCAAGACAACTTCAGCAATTAAAAATTAATAAAAAAACAGAAAACACAGCACTGATGTTTAACCAGGTCACTCACATCCCAGAGACCATGACACAAAACTGAGGCCTTCCAGCCAAAACCAATAATCAGCTCTATGATCTGATGGGGGTGGGAATGTATCAGTGCAGAAGGGATGAGCACAAACCAGTTTATTTCTTCACACAAATTCTGGTGCACAGACTGAGTCAGCATCAGCCACCTGCCTACACCTAGAGACACACAATTCCACCTGCCATCCAGAGCCTGCAGCCTTTCCATCCTTCCTGGTACACCAGCAATCCTTCTGGCATTTGGTCCTTATGCTCAACAGCTAGAATAAATTGTATTTTGTTTTAAGTACAATAACTTCAAATTAAGTTTCATGCCTTGAAATTAAACACAAAACAAGCTGTAGGACAAAAAATTGCCCACCTTATGTCACATTATGCTGTTTTTCCCAAATTAAACCAAACTAGCAACTTGTAGATAATGACAGACTGAATTCATCCATGTTAACTTTGTAACAGACAATCAACTGCTAGAATAGGAGATGGAAAGCATTTACCTCTGCTGATACAAGTTCTTCCAGCAGGTCAAGTTTACGCTGAGACAGCAGCTTTGAAACAACAGAAAAGGCCTACCAAAATAAAACAGAAACAAAAACCAAACATAAACAAGTAACTCTAGGTTGGCTTATTTTTCTGACAAATCCATAAGTATATGGCATGCTACCCAAATATTCCATGATTTAAGATTTCAATATTTGCAGAGGGTATCACCATTGAAATGTAATCCCTCCAGCATTACAAGAGTGATTTCATGAATTGATAAAAACATACGAGTTCTTTTCTATTTCTTATTTAAAAACATCAAAGCTTCCAATAGGTGAATTCATAGTTTACAAAAGAAAAAAAAAGCTTTGCAGTATTTTGCATGTTGCTTTCACTAATTTTGATAATTCAAACAGTCTATGTCTTTCCCTGTAGATATTTTGTTCCCCTGCCCTCTTTTCCAATTCATCTACTGGTTTCAGTCAAAACTCATGCTGCAATTTACAAATTTTCTTTAAAAATCTGGTTTAGTCTCTGGACTTCAGGAAGCTCAACTCTCCTTTCTCCCCTCAATTTTGCAGGCATATTTACATACAATTATGCCTCTACACATTCAAGTAGTGCACTTGTGAAGGACAGTGTATTTAGGACACTACACCAAGTAAAAACAAACACCAAAACAAAACCTCAAAAAAACAGACCAAGGTAAAACAGGTGGTTCCACACATGTGTCAAATTATTTGTTGTGGGTTTTTTCCTCTTTTGAATTGATCCTAATCATTTTAACATTCTGTCCTCTGATGTGTTATTTTGAGCCGGTGTTTTTTTGGTAAAAGTAAACATCATAATAAAAAGTTTCCCAACAGATAACTCTGTAATTTTCATATGACTAGCTTAGAGATACTTACCTCTCTGACACATTCTGTTGACAAGGCTTACTGGGCTCATAAATTTGGAGAAATAAATATATGTACAACAGCTCTATGCCTGTCTAAGCTTGATCATTTCAGGAAAACCTGCTATGAGAAGACATACTTCTCCTTAAAGCCTCTACAACATTTGGAAGCACCTTCCTTCATGCTACTTTGGGGGATGGCTTAACCAGATTATTTTAATTGAAAGACATTCCTGAGGGAAAGTACAGCTCTGCTTAGATAATTTGCCTTGAAGTGTGATGCTTGAAGCCAGCAGGGGGGAACTCCATGTATTTTACACACAAGAGCACATTTGTGCTATGATGCCCACACATAATAACATCAGGCTGGACGTCAGGAGGAATTTCTTCATGGAAAAGTTTGTCAAACATTGAAATGAGCTGCCCAGGGAGGTGGTGGAATTGTCATCATTGGAGGTGTTTAAGGAAAGACTGGACATGGCACTGATGTCAGAAACTGGCTGATGAAGTGGTGTTTGGTGACACATTGGACTCAATGTATAACACAGACACGGAGCTCCTGGAGTGGGTCCAGCAGCAAGGATTGGGAACTGGAGCATCTCTCCTCCAGGAAAAGCGTATGGGACTTGTTCAGCCTCAAGAAGAGACAGCTGAGAGGGACATCATCAATGTGTTTTAAATATTTAAAGAGGAGGAGTGCCACGAGTATGGATCAGGTTCTGCTCAGTGATGCCAAGCAACAGCACAAGAGGCAATGGGCAGAAACTGATGCACAGGAAGTTCCACCTGAACACAAGGAAGGACTTTACTGTGAGTGTGACCAAGCACTGGAACAGATTGCCTAGAGTTTGTGGAGTGTCCCTCACTGCAAATATTCTAAACCTGTCTGGATGCAATCCAGAGCCATGCGCCCTAAGACGACCTTGCTGGAGCAGAGAGGACGGAGCAGGTGACCCACTGTGGCCCATTCCTACCTCACCCGTTCTGTGAATCTGTGACTATCTCAGAAATCTTCTCCAGCCTAACTGGTTCTATAATTCCACGAAATTATAGAACGAGGGGCTGCACCGGCAGCCCCTGGGGAGGGTGAGCAGGACCCTTCCTTCCCCTCAGGCCGGCCACGCTCCTCGCCCCGAGGCCCCAGGCCCGCTCACCTGCTTGGCTCCCCGCGTGAACTCCTCGATGCTGAATTCGTGGTCGAAGTAGAGGCGGATGAGCAGGTAGTAGAAGCGGGTGCGGAGCCAAGCGAAGGGGCTGGTGATCCTCACTACCACAACACGCCGTTGAGGGCCCTCAGTCCCAGACCCGGCGCTGCTGGCGAACCGAGCGCTGAGCTGGGGCGGACGGGTCCGGGCGGGGCCCGGCGGGCCCGGTGCGGCTGCAGCCGGCGGCAGGAGCCGGGCGGAGCCCGCCAGCGCCCGCGCCAGCCAGCGGACACGGCCCGGAGCCGCGCAGCGCAGCGCCATGATGGCCCGGCCCGGCCCCGCCCTGTCCGCCGCAAGTCCCGCTCCACGGAAACACGGCTGCAGCCGCCGCTGGTTCCGGCGCAGGCGGAGCGGTCCGCGCCTGGTCAGGGACCCGAGCCCCGGTCACCGCTGGAGGAGGGCGGCCTCCCCTCTGCTGGCACTGCTGGGGTCGCGTCTGGGCACGGTATCCAGTTCTGGGCTTCCCAGTACAAGAGAGACAAGGAGCTACTGGGGAGCGTGCAGCGGATGCCACAACGATGAGGAAGGGCCTGGAGCATCTCTGTTCATGAGGAGAGACTGGGGGAGCTGGGCCTGTTCAGTCTGAGGAGATTGTGAGGAGATCTCATGGATGCACAGAAATACCTCAAAGGCGAGTGCCAAGAGATGGTGCCAGACACTTCTCAGTGGTGCTCAGTGTCAGGACGAAAAGTAATGGCCATAAACTAAAACATAATAAGCTCCACCTCAGCTTGAGAAATAACTTAATTACATTGCGGGTGGCAGAGCACTGGAACAGGCTGCCCAGGGAAGTCATGGAGTCTCCGTCTCTGGAGACATTCAAACCCCACCTGGACATGTTCCTGTGCCACCTGCTGCAGGTGACCCTGCCGTGGCAGGGGTTGGACTCGATGCTCTCCAGAGATCCCTTCCAACCCTTACAATTCCGTGATCCGCGGGCTCCCGGCCCTTGCCCAGGGGGCGAGGCAGGAACGCTTCTGCGCGCGCTCTTCTTTCCGGGGGAAGCGGCGGGGCGGACGCGGTGCCCGCGGCCATGGAGCAGCGGCGGGAGCAGCGGGCGGAGGCCCTGGAGCGGTTGGACGGGGTGACACGGGAGCGCTTCCTGCGGGACATCTACCCGCGGGTACGGGGCGCTCCGAGCGGGACCCGCCGCAGCGGCTGGGGCTCCACGGCGACACAGGGCAAGGCAGGAGGTGTCCAGGGACCCCTGCTCAGCGGGCACAGCTGGGGCAGGCCAACCCCAGGGTTTGGGTTTGTGTGTTCCCGGAAAGATGCCCTGATCTATTGAGGGGAATGGGAGTTTAGGAGCAAGGAGCTTCTATGGGCAGGTCCTGTCTGAGCTGCTGGCAAGTTCCGACAGGTGATCTCTGTAAGAGTCCATTGAGTTTGGCAGTGGTTAAAAAGTGTGATCGTTAGTTTTGTTGCTTTGTCATCTCTTGTTTTATCCTCCCCACCCTCCGAGGTCCCAATTAAAAGCAAAAGTGTCTTTGTACTTTTTGTGTGTGGGCTGGATCAAACCTGTTTGTGGTTGTGAGCAGCGAGGAACCTGGTACAGGTGGAAAGAGCTTCTTTCTCTCATGAGAACATAACAGCATCACACAGCTCACAGGCTGCACCTTAACTGTGTGGGTTTTTACATGTTTTGTGCTAAGCCTTGGCTAGAAGGATTAAATCTATTCCTTTGTCTGCCTGGATTCCTAAATGGCCCCAGCACAAAGTGTGGGCTATAATTGTCTTTGCCTCTCCATATCCTTCCTTACCCAACTAGGAAAGAACACATAGTTAGTTAATAGAGAAACAGTTCCATAATTTGCTGCATTTTGTTTCAACATTCAGCATTTGATTCACACTCCTTGTGAACAGGTTAGTTGTAACCTTGTGTAAGAAACATTTATAACACTTACAAAGAAACATTTCCTTCGATGTAATTTGAAAAATTCATTCTGTTATTTTTTTCAGTTGGATGCTGTGATAATTCATCACTGAATTTTGTTGTTGTTCTTATTCCTTAGAGAAAGCCAGTAGTGCTGACAGGATTGGAACTGGGCACTTGCACCACCAAATGGACAATAGATTACTTGAGCCAAGCTGAAGGATCTAAAGAAGTAAAGATTCATGTTTCTGCAGTGCCACAGATGGATTTCCTCAGTAAGAACTTTGTGTATAGGTACTTCCAAAGCCTCTTGCATTTTAAAGGCATGTGCTTGTTACTTACAGACATACAGTGCATCTGTTTGGAGCTGAGGGTGGGAATAGGAAGATAGTTTGTGAAAACATTACATTATGTATCAAAGGGTTGTCCTGGGTTTCTCCCTCTTCTATTAATTCTACACCCTGAATAAATACAATGAAGTTGAAGTGAGGGGCCAAACAGCACCTTAAAAGTGATGTCATGAAGTGTTGTAAAGGTATTTTGTCAGAGCACTGTTTTAGGAAATTTGAGTCTGGCATTTGCAGATGTTAATTAAAAACAAACCAAAACACCCTTGATATCTACACTTGATGACCTGGTATTTGTTGTAGTTATGTGGTGCATTCTCAGTGTTACTGAATAGTGACAATTTCTGACTCACTGTGTGTCTGATCCACTTTGAATGCTGGTGTGTGTGTGCCAGCCATGGTATTCCACTCCAGAAAGGGTGTAACTAGTTAAATCCAAGCTCCTTTCAAAGTTAGCATGTGCAGCTTTCAGAATGTTCAGACCACTGGATACCACACATTTCATCAGTTCTTCAGTCTTGATGTGGGCCACAAAAAACCTTGATCTCCTCTGGAGCTTCTCTTATGTAACTACCAGAACATTTCTTCTGAGTTCCTCTAATCTCAGTCATTGGGTTGTCTTCAAGGGTAAATGACTTTATTTTAGCAGGTGGGAATAGGATGTGCTCAGTGTATTAAACTTCTAAGCAGGTGGGAGCATATGCTGTAAATAAGCCACAAGTCTCTGAGTGGAGCCTGCTGTTCAGGGGATAAACACCAATTACAATCATGGTGCATTCTGCTCACTGCATAATGAACTATTGAATCTCTGAAATGAGGGAGTACTTGAATAACTTTGCCTTATCTCCATTCTTTATACTCCCTGCTCTGTTTTGGGGTTTTTTAGTATCCCTTGCTGTGAGTTCACATACAGTTGTTCTGGAGTCTTAGTTTTAGCAGGTTTGTAGACAGCCAAATGGACTCTCTGATGCTCTGATGGTGTTTCATTAAAGCAGGTGTCAGGACTTTCACATACTTAATTTGAAATTCAGGAAACTTTGACTTTTTCCACAGCAAGCCCCTCACTCTAATCTGAAGGGACAATAAGTAGAAACAAAAGAATAGAAACTCTGAGGACTTAACATGCAGTTCCATTAGTTTAAACTGATGAACATTAGTAGTACTGCAGTTCTGTTGTGAGTTGCATGCTCCTACCCCTGTTTTTGTGTTGGTTCTGGAACTCATCCAGCCAGGTTGTGATGTGCTGCAGAAATCTGAATGGTTTTCTGCTGTTTTAGCTTTGTAAGCAGGTTCACAGGGGGGTCAGATGAGTGCCAGTGCTACTGTAAGGGGGGAGATGGGGTGATGACGGCAGATAGCAAGGGCAGAGCTGTGGTAGCACCAGAATGCATCAGTTTAAGCTGTAGCAGAGCTGTGCTCTCACTTTCTTCAGCAGCAGACATAAGTGGACATGATAGAACAGTTTGGCTGAAGTCAGAGCATTGGGTTTTGTTTGGTTTTCCATTGACTTCAGTGGATTTTGTATTTGCCTATTCCAAACAAGCCTAAAATGTTTAGAGAACTGGTTTAAGTACTGTCAGATGCAGGTTCACATTCTAGTAAAAAAGATAACAGGATCAAGAAAAATTTTGCTTGAGAATGGTTTCTTCTCAACCCTGGGTACTTGGTGGTTGCTCTGAAATGTGATATTTACACACAATAGTTAATTTTCCAGTGACACTTAGTGTGAGATGGTGAGCTGCATGAATGTAACATTGAATTCATAATAATGAATATGTGTCCTGTTGCTGATTGTGTTTGGTTTGCCATACAGCTATCAACTGATACCAAAATCTGTAATCTGCATGAAAAGCTCCCATTATGTAGATAATAACTCTTACTGTAATAACTCTTACTGACTTCAGAGGGACCAGCTCTAATGCCCAGTGACTCTTCTTGAATCTTCTGAAGTTATATTTAGTAAATTTAAGGAAAACTCCAAAGAAACATTTGAAATATTGAGATGCCTGTGTTTTGAGGAGCTGAGAAAAAATATATTAAAAAAAAAAATCCATGTAACTGAAATAAATTTTATAGATGTACAAATGAAGGTATTTACCTGTGTCCTTTACAAATTTATAGCAGAAATGCATAGATACTAACATGTGCATCTTCCCTGCTGGAATTTTCTTGATGCTGAGCTTTTCTGCAAATTTATAAAAAGGTACAGTAAACAAGCCTAAAAATGACACACTTAAACAGTTAAGCATATTGCCACAGTTTGAGTCTTAATTTGACTGTGAAAAATGTTTTGTTCTGTGACTCAGAGGGGAGTCTTAACAAAGTGGGGAGCTCAAGAGGGGATCTTAACAAAGTGTATGAACAGTTGATGGAGCCGGGTTCTTTTGTGGTCCATGGTGACAGGACAAGAGGCCATGGGCACAAGCTGAAATACAGGAAATTCTGTCAACCCCTTTAACACACACAGACACACACTGTTTTACAGCCAGGTTACTCAAACAATGGAACAAATGCAACAGGTTGCCTAGAGAGATTATGGAGTCTCCATCCTTGGAGATCCATGAAACAGAACTGAATGCTGTCCTGTGCAAGCTGCTGTAGTGAACCCCACTCTTGGCAAGGGGCTTGGGCTGGAGGAGCTCCAAAGGTGCTTCCAGCCTCAACTACTACAGGCTTGTTTGGATACATACTGGAACAATTCACTAAAACAAAGAAGTTTCTAAGTGTAGGATTTCTGTCTTGGGAGAACTCTTCAAATATCTGCTGCAGACTAAACTGATTAGTCATCATGTTAATTAAAAAAAAAAACAAGAGAGCATCTATTGCATCTTCCATTGCACTTGATATGGTAAGGGAGCTTATTATAAATCTAGAGTTTAGACTGCGTGTTGTTACACAGATTCATGGTATAAATTCAAATATTTCTATTTCAGAACTCTGCCTTTTGATGCATTTGTGCGAAGAGCAGCTGAAGTCAAGCACAAGGAGTACTTTCTTACTGAGGTAATTTCCTTAGTGTCACAGTTTCTTCTGTTGGTTATTTTGCTGGTATATGGAGAGAAAAGTGATGAATTGTAATTTAAAGTCTTACTTCAGTAAAAAACTTGATCTTAAATTTAACTTTCTTGTGGGTTGATGCCAAAGGAAAAAATGTGAGAAGTAATTCTTCTCAGAGGTTTTGTTGTATGTGTACAGTGTGGTTAACTTCAGTCATCCTGTTTCTCTTAACAAAAACTGCTTACATGAGCAAAAATTCCAGTATGAAATTTAGAAATCAAACCTTGCTTTAGAATAACAACCATATAATTTGTGTGGTTTGCAAGAAAATGTCATGAAGATATTTTAGAATTTGATGACTATCAAAGTACAAATCCAGATATATTGTAACATAATTTGTGAGTATCAAATGTGTGGCTATCTCTACATATCAGTGTTCAGGCTAGGGATTTTTCAGATAACTGTAATTAGGAAGCAAATAGTTTTGAATGTAGACATGCTTTTTACCTTTTATGCTGCATAGAATGCTGTAAGTTTTGAAGGCAATAGTTTTCTGCATCAATATACTGAAGAACTGAAATTATAATCTGCATTTGCTTTGAGTCTGTTCAGTAACAGCAATGCTGAAGCAGTTGACCAGTCTCCCCACACTTTACTCTTCTCCCTTCAGTTAATTTCTTTTTTTCCTTTTGTCAAAATGAGCTGCAGGGATCAGTAAATGGCAGTATAACAAAGTAGCTGAATTTGTAGATGCCCTTTTTTTGTACCATATTTTAATGAAATTCTGCATTAGATAAATAAGAAAATACAAGCTCTCTGTTTATGTGTTTTTGTAACTCTTATTAAAAAACCCCAAACAATTCTCTTTTTGTGTTCTCTTCAGGATGAAAAGTACTATTTGCGATCAGTGGGTGAAGATGTTAGGAAGGTAAGTTACTGGAGATTACAGTTCTAATATTGTAAAGTTGCAGTTTAGAAATATTTTTTAAAGTCTGTTGTCATACAACTTACTTAGGGTCACATGGTTTGTGAATCTGACTGGATTTAGGTCAGAGTACTTTAATGTGTCTAAAATAGCTCATGGGAGCTGAGCTGGTCACTGAAGAGTACATTGCTAAACTGCCTTTCTTTAGCTTTTGTTGTAGACTAATGTAAAAGGATTTATGCTGATCTCTTGCTCTTGCAGTGTGATTCCTAGCAGCCATGGTTAAGAGCAGCTCTCTGGCTCTTCTTTTTAATGGCATTTGCAAGTCAGTGCTGAAGAGCATTGCTGATTTCAGGTGTTGCCAATGCTGAATTCTAACCCCATTTCATATGATTGGAAATGATTGTGAAGTGTTCCCCCATTTAAACGTGCATAGATGGTTCTCTAAGAGTTATGTCCTTTCCATTTCAGGATATTGCAGATATCAGGAAGCAGTTTCCTATTTTAGCAGAAGATGTTCATATTCCAGAGTATTTTGAGAAGGAACAGTTTTTCTCTAGTGTCTTCCGCATCAGCTCAGCTGGATTACAGCTATGGACACATTATGATGTAGGTAATACATGGGTTTAGCAAAAAATGTTGCAGATGGCATTACAGAGTTGACAGAATAAGGTGCAAATCTCTGTCAAAGATTAGAGAGAGAGTAATAACAAAATTCGCATATTTTGAAACAGTAAAATGAACCACATTCAGGGTACAGTGAGTTTTAAATGTTGCATTGCTTAGGAATAATATCTTAACTGGGTTTATGTCTAATGCCAGATTGTAAGATTAAAGGATGTTTTATTTTGTTTTCCTTTTTTAAATTGTTTTGAGTTTCAGTTGAAAATCTGAAACACAGTAACTTTAAACATTTTTGTCTTCAACATTGCTTTCCTTTTTTTGTTTTTCACTCTAATGGTCAGATTAGGATAAATTCTAGTTGTACACTGCCAACTGTGCAATGATTGTAGTGGTTTCTGGCTGCAATGCAATAGATTCCAAATAAGGTTGTCTTCTAACACTGTGCAGTGAGTTCTGAATAACTTTATTTATAAGATAATTCTTAACATGTGAAGGTTTTATTAATACTCTTTTTTTAAGCTAATAATTAGATCAGTTGAAGTCTATATATTTATTCAATCAATTTTTGGCTGACATCTCTATTATTACGCTCATCCCAGGTAATGGACAACTTCTTAATCCAAGTCACAGGGAGAAAAAGAGTTGTTTTGTACAGTCCTCGAGATGCACCATATTTATATTTATCAGGTATGCATGTCACAGGTATCTAGATTGGAGTATGGTGATCTTAGCTTTTCAGCTCACAACTGTTGCACTGTAGAAAATAATCACTAACAGATGACTTGCTATAAACGAATATAATTTGTTCCTTTAACTCTGATTCTTTGTGCTTTAGTCAAAGCTAAGGAAAACAGCAGCTTTGCCTGATTATTTTCAACACCTAACTGAAGGAGTAAAATGTTCTATCTGGGTTCAAAATAGTTTTTTTAGATGTCAGGAAAAGTGGTTTTTAGTGTTAATAAGGTTGCAGTTACAGAACAAATATAGACAAGAGGAGAACATCTCTTCATGAGATGTTGCTGAAGCAACAGAGGTACTCAAATGAGTACCTGCTTCATAAATGAGGGGTGCCATCAGATTTTCCTGGTTTTGAGAAACAAACCAGGACTAAATTTGATTCAAGAACTGCCATCTCCAGCAATATGATAATCTTTGTTCCTATTGGAAGAGTGGGAATATTTATTCAGTGAAATTTTCCTAGGTACTAAATCAGAGGTGCTGGATGTGGATAACCCAGACATGGAGAAATATCCCCTTTTTGTGAAAGCCAAGCGCTATGAATGTGTTTTGGAAGCAGGAGATGTGTTATTTATTCCAGGTAAGTAGTAAATAGTTCCTGACCACTAAACAGTCTTGTTTCTAATTTTTGATTTCTGGAGATGGTAAGAGATTACTAAAGCGTTTCTCTGTTATAAGTAGGAGCATTGAAAGCCAATGTTGGCAAAACTAATTTACTTCTTCCAACTGTACCGTTAACCTGAGAAACAGTACTATTATATCTACCTATAAATCTTGATTTCCCTCAAGTGTACACTCTATGCTCCTGAATTTGTGTCTTAATAGATTAGTACTATAAACTTACCTTCTGAAATCTGAAACTACTTCAGTGACCTGAGTTTATTAGTGACAGAATTTGAGTGAAATACCATTTATGTTCTTCTGTAGCTCTGGAACTTGAGGCACATGGTCTGATGAGAATTATGGATGGTAGAGTTATTGGACCTTCTAAAGTTTAATAATAATCTTTGGGGAATGGAAACACACATCCTAATAATTTTTCTGCAGAAGCAGAAAGCTGCTTTCTGGGCTGACATGACATATTCTGGTAGTCAGGGAAAGGCAGTTGAATTACTCCTATTGAACTACTCCTCCTTGTTACTTGATTTTATTTTAACTCATCATGAGCTTGCAGCAGATATGACTTATCCTGTCACTTATTTACTTTATCTGAGCAAGATAAACAGGTCAGTAAACAAGAAGGTAATAGGTTTTTAGGAAGTTATTTTATAATAGTTTCTTAGCCTTTGACTTGTTACTTAATTTTGAACTTACCTTTGTTTCTTCCTGAATAAACTTTTGGTTACAGTTAGTTACATGCCACACTGCTGCTGATGTCAGCACCCCTGTTTTCTGTTTATGAAGTCCAGATACTTGTTTGTCTTTGCCAGTGGATCGGTAGAGTCAAACTTGAGTCATATTCAGCTCTCTTAAGACTGACTGGGGAGTATAGGGATTTTTGAGTCCAGAGAATGGTGCTTTGTCAGCATCCTGCAGTGCATATCACTGAAAAAAAAAGATGTTTTCTGAGGAATGTGTGTGGTTATTATGAAGAAGGTAGAAGCAGCCCCTCTTCCTAACCTGAAAGAAGCTTCATGTTGATTTCTCAGAATAAACTTTTCTGTCTTCAGCGCCTACAGGCAAATAAGATGCAATAAACACAGCATTCAGACTTTTAGCTTAAAGTTCAAATATCCTAAATATAGCATATTAAACTGATTCTTTAAATGTACTCAATGAAGCAAAGATGTCTTGGCTTCTTTACCACAGTCATGATGATTCAGCTGAAAAACCTCATGCTTTCATTATGAGAAGATTAGCAATTTTGCCTGAGTGATTTACATTGAGGCCTGGACAGTATGTGCAAGGTTAGGGACTAAGTGAAAATAGATACCTGCATTTAGAGTGGAGGGGAGCAAGGGAAGGTGTCTTTCTTTCACCCTACACATGCTTATCTTTGCTTACATTTGAGTACCTCTGTGCTTCAGCAACTGTTACTTTTATGAGAAGTTATGGATCAGCATAAATGTCTTGAAAAACTTCTTAAATTTGGTACAAAGCAATACATTCATATGGATATTTATAAATAAACAAAAATACAGTAGTTGAGGTTTTTCCTCAACTAGATTTAGTTTGGGCAATTCTGACAATTGCTTGGAGTCACGTGGAAGTTTTGGACAGAAATATTTATTTTAGACACTGTTCTTTCTACAGCTTTGTGGTTCCATAATGTAATTTCTGAGGAATTTGGAGTGGCACTGAATGTCTTTTGGAAGCACCTTCCTGCTGAGTCCTATGATAAGACTGACACTTATGGAAATAAAGATCCCATGGCAGCCTCTAGAGCTATACAGATCTTGGACAGAGCCTTGAAAACACTTGAAGAACTACCTGAGGAATACAGGGATTTTTATGCTCGGAGAATGGTATTACGTATCCAAGAAAAGGCCTACAGGAATGATTATGGATAAAGCAACACGCTGCAATTCAGCAAGGTCCCTTGCAAGTAGAAAATTGTATGTTAGTATGGAAACTGTCCATCTGTCCTTACATACACTTTCTGTGAGACCAATAAAAACTGTCAATAAACATTCTTTTATTACAAAATTCTTCTTGTAGATTTTCTTCCTAGTTTTTCATGTGCACTGAGGTCACAGTCTGCTTGATCTGGAGATGGTCTCTTTTCTACAATGAGACAGACATTTGCAGTGCCTCCACTTATAACTGTACTGTTTTGGAATGTTCTACTGAAATTTTTCTGAACAAAAGTTTTGGTATGTGGGCTGACAGCACGTATGCTTAGAAGTAACTGCACGTATTTGTGAATGCAGCCTCATTAAATTTTAGCAAAGCCATAGTGGTTTCTGAGGAGGTCCAAGCAAGCCATTGGTGGTAGCTGTAATGGTCATGGTTTAAGTGATAACCTGGCAATTAGTGTAGGGAGTTTCTTCTCCCCCTTGTAGACAGAGTGGGTATGGAGAAAAAAAGCAAAAACTAACCATGCCAGATTACACTTAGAATTGTGCAGCAGCTTGAGTACAATGTAAATGATTTACCCTTCTCCTAGCTCAGTAATGTGTTACTGGGGGGAATATCTTGGTCACTGCCTCAGTGCAGTCAGACAGCATTGCTGTTCCTGCAGCTGTGAAACACTCGGCACTAACGTGCCCACAAATCCATTCAGATACAGTCCTGGTATCTGCAGTGGAGTTCATGGTGGTGGAGTAGACACAAAACCTGTTGGGGCTGTTTTGTTATCATATGAAAGGAGGTTTGCATAGCACCTTTTGGGATGGAGCCTGTTGTTTAGGCATTGTAGGTTACTTTTTCAGCAGATTGTAGTGCTTACAAAAGCCCTGTGAAATAAAGGTGGGGATCTGACAAATAGGATAGGCTAGGCATTTTCTCTTTGAAACACCTCTGATGTTATTACTTGTGCTGTTTGGGAAATGCAGCATTTATCTGACTTAGGTCAGTCTTGCTTCTAGCAACGTTTTTTGAGAATTGTAACTTGTCAAAAGCTCTTAGACAAAATAAATGTGTAGTGTTAAAAAAGTGCTGGAAAAAAGCTTTCTTCAGAAGAGCAGGAGCTTGAACACTGTGCAGATTATTCTTCTAAACCTGTTCTTCTTGGCAGTTCAACACAGTGAAAATAGTCTGGTACCATGTGAATGGGCACCCGGCCACCTCAATGAATAAGCATGAATGGAACCAGCCAAGCGATTCTGACGGGCATCATTGTACGTTCTGAGGGTAGAATTTCAATTTGGGATCACAAATAGGTCTCCCAAAATTTTTGTTCAGAAAGGAACAAGGATTGCTTGTGCATACTGCTTGCTGAGACAGAATCTTTCTGCCCGTTAGGCTGGGGTAACCTCTTGGCTTTGTTGGATTGGTAATGTCGAGGGCCCAGTCTGAATTGCAGAGGTGAACAGAGCATATTCTTTGTGTGTTAGGACTGAATTGAGAGGTTCAGAGAGCCTGTAGGGCTCAACAAAGCTGTGTTCCAGCATTGTGCCTGCACAGCCATCACTTTAACTGCCAGCAGCTTCTCAAGGTACTGGTACAGAGAATTACTGTGCTGATGCCTCGTGCCATTCCTTGGGTCTCCATTCACAAAAGGGAGGTGTCAGCTTGGTATTCTCAGGCCCCTTCAACACTTAAGTGTAAATTTTATCTTCATGCTGCAAACTTCCACATTTGCAGAGATCTGACTAAATCAGTCCCAGATGGGAAGAAGTTTATCAAACTTCTTAGCATTTTAGATTCATACAAAATAAAATTATTTCAATCATCTGGACAAGTTCATAGACTCAAGCCTTGCTTTAAAAGAATTTAGCAGTTTACAATTTAGTACATGTTAGCATGTCTCAAAATCTACCAGAAACAAGCATGTAATACAAGAACACCAGTCATTACTAGGTTGTACTATGGACTGTGTAAGGTTGCTCACTCCATTAGGAAACAGAAGTGTCTTGAACTACAGCACTATTAGCAGGAGAGCCACCTAACTTTAGGCATTTACACCTAAGCTTATTAAAAACCGCCTTTACAGGTAATGTTGAAAAATGGGCATATGCAAACTATGACCCATTTTATCCTAACACAGAAATGTCCCACCCTTGGCTGCTTCATGCCAGCTTTCCTGTGTTTGTGAGATGCCAGTAAGCTGTTTTAAAATTATGGATGGTGACTACACAAATACAAAGCCTCCTTGAAGAAAAGTCATCAAATAAATCTGATTTTTTAAACTAGGTCTCCACAAACACCTGCTAAAACTTAATCCACAAAACTGCACATTCCTTGTTTAATGGTTTTATACTCACATCAAAGTGGTTTCACCCATTAGAACTAGTTTATTTTCTACATAGTTTGCAAAATTTATTTTTAGCATGCATTGTAATGAATGACAGAGGCACATTCCAACAGAGTACTACAGCTGTTTAAAGAATGAAAAACAACCAGTCAGTTTTCCCTCCACAACACGAGGTCTCATAACAAGATTAGTTTTACAACAAAGTGCCTATTCTTCAAAGTAATGCAGCAACACTTGAGCCTATTTAACAGTTATTGTAGGCAGCCCCCATCAAACAGGTTAGTATTATTTTAACAGGACAGCCATCCAGAAACTTTTGAAGACAATGTCAATATTTTAATAGCTATTTCCAAAAGCTTGCAGCAACGTAGTTCTGATGTTTTGGCAGGCACAGAATTGTTTAGAAATTGGTCTCTGATCTGCAGTGTTATTGGATTGGGCAAGTGTTAGCACACCCAGCTTAGCCTAGTCAGTCTGAAACTGAGGGAGCAAAAGCAATAGAAAGTTCTGGGGTTTTTGCTGGTTTACCTTTTAAAATACTATTTTGTAAGGGGATGGTTAAATATATTTCAAGCCATTTGCAGGCTTTCTATTAAAACCACTTCTTTAGGTGACCCATATTTCCTTTACAGAAAAAAATCCTCACATTTGCTGCAAATGTTATCAAAAGGACCATAAAGGGAAAAAATGTGCCTTGAAACAAATTAAAAAGTTGTTATAAGCCTATTAAGATAGTAATCAACAAATAGGAGTGAACGAAATCTCCAAGAAACAGCCTAAAATAAAAAAGCAGATGGAACTAAATTTCAGGTTCTTTAGAGTTTGTTTGCATATTGCACTTTTCTCCATCAATTAAAACAGATTTCTTTTGATGAACTAGGTAATCTAATTATTAGTGATAGAGTTCTCTTTCAAATTGTAAGGTACACACTGCATGCATAATCCTTTCTACCACCCTTAATATTTTGAGTATTAAGAAAATTTTCTTAGGAGTACAACACACTTTTCTCATTATTCAGTGATCACTGATGTGCACAGTTTCTGCCAAAAGTTGTCTACAGGGAACCTTTTAAGTTTTAATGATGCCAATAGAAGAAACTTCCTTTCCACAGTGTAAGAGTCACGGGAAACAAGGAGCAGGGCAGAGATGTCACTAAGCCATCAAACACAGAACCAAAGTTGAATAAAAGGCCTTTTTTCAGACCTTAGCCACAATTGTTTGTGTAATCTTCACAGAGGTTTGCTAACTTGCTTTTGTATTCCTATACTTCCAGGAAATCCAAAACCATTTGGAGTTACTGGTTCGTTGTTAATAGTTGCAGTTGTCTTTAAGAATGATTTTAAGCTTTGTAGCTAAATGGGAAATTACTTGCAACAGTAGAAAAGTTCCATTAATACCATCATTGTCCATCTTTCAGTATTTCTTTCTTAAGTACACTCAGGTTTGGTGTCTGAACCAGATTACATCTTTTGTATCAAATCTGGCTGGCTTTCTATTTAGAGGGGTTTTTTTCTGTAGGAAAAAATTAGGCTACAAAAATAAGGTTTTTGGATGGCTTTAGAAGCAACTACTGCAGTACATTTAAAGGACATAATAGATTTTAAAACTGAGGCATTTTGAAAGAGCTACACTCAAGACAGTCTGAATTTTTTTAATGCAACTTGTAATAGATTATGTGCTTATGGCTTGATTAAGAGCAACATCAATGCAGCAAATACCAAGTACAACCTTGCCATCCCCAGGTAGGGATGTCACCCTTGATGTGATAACAAAGGTATTACTGCTGGTCCTTACAGAAGTTAGCAAAGCAACAGCAAGGTATCTTGAAGCATGAACAAGCTACACCCTAATCAACATTCCTGGTTACTTAACATAGCTACATCACAATTTTCAAGCCCCCAGGTGAAATGGCTGTTCACTAGCAGATACTACACAATTAATTAATTAATCAAACTTCAGAGTGACAGAAACGGCAAGGCGCTCATAAGGAAGAGAAATGTATTGGCACTATTATTCCAAAGATGAGTATTTGTGACTTTGTTTCAAACAGGAAAAACGTTACAAAACTGGAAGATTTAATTACCTAATAAAACAGGTCTCCACAAAATATATAACTAACATTCTTCTTACAATCAATTTCCTTAAGCCAAAAAACTAACCTTACATCTGCTATTGACAAAGAGCAATAATTTTAGCCCTGGAAGCACTCAATTGAAGTATCTACACATCTGAAATTCCCAAGTACTTTAAAGTCCCATTAAATGCAGTATATGACATTAGACATCCAGGACTAAAAATTCTGCCAACAGTTTAGGAATAAACATTCCCATTTAACAAAAAAACATGCATAGGATTGTTCTTCATAACACTTTTTTCCCAGGAATCAAAAAACAACATCTGTTATAGTTATGGGGTCCCAATAAGCCTTTTTATGCTACAGAAATTTATATATAGTATCTATTAGCAACACAGAACTCATTTAGTATTCTGTTTAGAAAGCATCTGCTCAAAGCTGAAAATCTAGATGACAACATTTACAGTGTTAAAAGTGCTTCTACAAAGAATATACTGTTCATATACATACAGTCTCAAAATACTTCATGAACTCTGAAATGGTTGTCTAAGGAGGGAACTTCATCAGCAAAATGCAGTTGATCATTTATTTCCACACCAAATTCTTCAAGTATCTGTACAAATTTCTCATGCTCTCTCCCAATCCATGACCTCATTGTGTCAAACACTTGGTACGGTGTAACGTGAGCATGAACTTTAATTCCTGTCTCTGCAAGT